ACTGAGTCAACAGCATCCAAGTTCAAGGCCAGTCTGGGCAACTTAGCAAGACCCTTTCTCAAAATAACAAAAAGGGCTCGGAAGTGCAGCACAAGAAAACTCCAAGGAGCTGGGCACAGTGGCACACTCTGCTGTAATCCAAGCTACTCAGCAAGTAGCTTGCTGAGGCAGGAAGGTCACAAGTTTGAGGCTAGTGATTTAGCAAGACCCTGCCTCAATAATAAAATTTTAAAAAGGGCAGAGGGTGTAGGTAGCTCAGTGGTAGAGCACCACTGGGTTCAATCCCCAGCACACACACACAAAAAAGTCAAGAGGCCACTGTGTTTGGAGTTGAGTGAGCCAGGAGGAAGTGGTTCCATCCTCAGTATGGCAAACAAAAAAAAGAGGGATGGGCTAAGGAAAGTTTAATGGGGGGGGGGGGGCTACTCATTTGAGAGAAAGCAATAGGGACAGTGAGGACACCCTAGGACTACCAACAACAAGAAGCCATTGCCACTCTGAGGCAAGAAGCAGTAAGGGGACTGGTAGGGCTGCCCAACAGGAGGAGTGGCCTCAGGAGAGAAACGAAGCCACAAACAGCCAACAGCCCAAGTGCCAGCCCAATCTCCTCTAACCCTCCATTCCTGCTGGGGCTCCCATTGGCTGATGGGAGAGAGCAAGGAATTCAGTAAAAGCACTTACACAAGTCAGCCTGCTGGGGTCAGGGCAGGTAGAGAAGGTTGGAGAGTGGGTCTGGAGGGCAAAGGGAAGAGCTAGCACACTTGGTTTGTTTGTTTGGTTGGTTGGTTGGTTTGGTTTGGTTTTGAGATAGAATCCTGCTAAGTTGCTGAGGCTGTCTTTGAACTTGTGATCCTCTTGTCTCAGTCTCCCAAGTCGCTGGGATTACAGGCATGTGCCAGTGCACCTGGCTAGCACACTTGCTTCATCCCAATTGACCCCACCTGCTTTCTCTGATCATTGGGAAACTGAGGCAGAAAGGATAAGCCTGAAGAGGCTATACTGAGGGGATTAGGCAGGGAAGACAGAAAGGACAACCATTAATCAATGGGAGGTTGGTGGGGAGGCAATGTGCTTTTCTGGTTATCACCATGGCAACCACTCTGAGCTGCCAGCCAAGTCCAAGCCAAGGGATGACTGGAAGTCACTTTTTCCATCACCCCACCCATTCCATTTCCATCCCTCTTCCTCCTTGGCCCCAAACAGAGTGATTTCCCTTGTTGCATCCATTTCCAAATAGAATTTTTGTAAGAACAATGGATGGCTTCTCTGGGTGGGGGAACTTGGGAAGCCATGGCTGAAGTCATACCAGGGAGGAAGGGAGTGGGGTAAAGTAAAAATGGGGTAAAGTAATTGAGCGAGGTGGACCAAGAGATGCTGGAGAATCCAGAGTGAAGGAGAGAGGATTATGAAAGAGGGGAGGTACCTTCAGGAGGTGACCTAACACAGTTAGGAGTTATGGAATTACAGAGTTATGGAGACGTGACCCAACAGTTCAACTGCTGTTGACAAGCAGTTTTATTGGTGTTGGCCAAAAATGGTTACCAGAGACCTGCTGATAAGAGAGAAAGGGGATCTCCCTTCAGCGGGGACCACTGGGAGAAGGAGGCCCCTTTTTGCTTGGGAAAGCAAAGACAGGCCATGGCTTCACACAGGTGAGTGCATTAGGACACCATATTTTGATGCTGGTACCTAAGAGGCCCCCGTGCCTGGCTCAGTCCTGCTGAGCTGGGTTACTATAGGAATGGGGGTGAGGAGTAGGTGGCCAGCCAACCACTTCTCCCTCAGGGCTCCTCCTCAGCCTGTTCTGCATCCCTTCCGAAGTCACTTCTGCCTTTGTCCTCTGCTCTCCCCACCCAAATTCAACCTGTCTTTCTGAGCTTGTCTGGTTCAGGTTCCTCCTCTCATAAAGTATTTCTTCCCTGGCCATTTATATCGTGCTCTCCCTCTGAAATTGGAAAGCTTTCACGGCTGATAGCAGTCCACTTTCACCACATGACTCATTTTTCTGAGAGGATCCCAACAAACAGCCTGGGATACTCTCACATCTGACTCTAGGTTGGCTAAACACAGTATAAATAAGGAACAGAGACAAGGCTCTAGGATCTACCATTGACAAGGACTTTAATGTCAGCTTCTGATCCCTTGAGAGTTTTCTAAGAAAGGGCAAATTACCCCTCAATCTGCCAAATAGGCAAGAGAACACTCCATTTATCCAACTCAATAAATATAGATTACCATCAATGTTATGATTCGCAGTCACCAAAGCACATTTTGGGGTAGGGGGATACCAGGGTTTGAACTCAAGGGCACTCAACCACTGAGCCACATCCCCAGCCCTATTTTGTGTATTTAGAGACAGGGTCTCACTGAGTTGCTTAGCAACTCACTTTTGCTGAGGCTGGCTTCGAACTCGTGATTCTCCTGTCTCAGCTGGGATTATAGGCGTATGGCCACCACGCCCAGCTCAAAGCACATTTTTGCAGATTTTTTTTATTTGAACCACATAGCAATTTTATGAGGTACCCATGAAACAGATGAGGAAATTAATTATCAAAGAGGTTAAGTAACACCAGGTGTGGGTGACACACACCTGTAATCCCAGCTACACCGTAGGCTGAGGCAGAAGGATCACAAATTTGAAGGCAGCCTGTGTAGTTTAGCAAGACCCTGTCTCAAAAAATGAAAAAAAAAAATAATAAAAATAAAAGGGCTAGGGATATAGCCGAGTCATAAAATGCCCCTGAGTTCCATCCCCAGTACCAAAAAAAAAAAGGAAAGGAAAGGAAAGAAAAACCGGTTGAGTGACATGAGCACACAGTACAGAACACAGATTCCTAGACTCCTAGCTTAACTCGTAGTATCCACAAATATGCCCAGTATCCAAAGAAAGATGGAAAAGCAGGGATATGCCAGATACAACTTTACTCCAGGATGGACTGCAGTACTGAAACAGAGGAATAACCAGTTGCCCAGCAGAGAGCACAGTCATGATACCATCTCCTGGGGAACCGTGGAAAGCAACTGATAATAGAGCTCACATAGATCCATGGGCCGCAAACATGTCTGCTCTGAGTCCTCAGAGTTCAAAGCTCCAGCCCCAGATGGAGACCTCATAGCAGGACCAGAACCTGTGAGAAAAGAACCCCACCAGGTGAGGGAGAATATTGGTGAGAAGAGAAAATAAGGTAAGGAGAGAAATCCAGTAATTGAGGCAGGGGCTAGGAGAGAGTGAGGACGCTTTCAGAAGCAGCTTTCACATGTGACCCTGGCTCTCCCAAGGAAAAGTTCTACATTCTTCACTCCAAATAAGAAATAGGGAGCTCTATATCTGAAGTCTACAAATGAGACCAGCTGTGCATGAAAAAAAATCACTAGATCAGATTCTTCAAAGTATGTGTTCCTAGCACCACCAAAACCTACCAACTCCATTTTCTCAGTTCCAGCAGCTCACTGGAGTTACCTGGAAGTGTGTCACAATGCTGACACCCAGGCTGAGCCCCAGATCTACTCAGTCAGAATCTCTAAGGTAGAGCCCTGGTGTCAGCATTTTCTTCAAGCCCAACGTATCAATGCACAAAGTTGAGAATCACAGCTCTCAAGTGGGCCAGGGAATTTGTATTTTACATGTCCTCAAGATATTCTAATGAACCCCACTCTGTTAGCAGGTATTTAGGAAATCTTGCTAAAAGCAACTATATCTCTCAAACAGCAAGTTTGGTCTAAAAAAAAAAAAAAAAACCAGCAAGGGGAATGATGGGAGCCAGAGACCAGGTCCCCAGGGCAACAGGGATAGCTAACAAGGAGACAACAGAAGTATTCAGGGAGCCTCTTCTGACCCTATTAGCACCTTAGGGACAGCTACAGAGCTTGATCTAAGGGGGTTAGGAGCAGGGCTAAGAAGGGCAACAGTGTAAAGAAAATGGCTCCTCCTCTTCCCAGGGCTGGGTTTAACTGTGCTCTCAAATGCCCTGAAGGTGCAAACTATTTACAATACATCCCTAGACTCCACAGATATCCAAAGTCTCAGTGAACATAGCTTCTAAACAGGGGGTCTGAAGTAGGGACCTACACTAGCTACATGACTTTGTGAAAGTGCCTTCCTTTCCTGTAAACTTCTATTCCTCCTGCCCGCCACTTTGGGAATACTAAGAGTAGTGTAGTTGTGGAAATCACACGAGATAATTAGTACTTGAAGAGCCCTTGGGACAATACCTGGCATACAATAGGTGCCCTATAACGACAAGTATGCATATACATTTATGTTTTGCATATTAATATATAATTATATGTCCAAAATTATACATATATAATAATATATAATGTTTATTAAGTGCTGACCACCTGCTAGGCACTATTTTATGCACTTTCCAACACCCTGTGAGTGGGAAGCCCAGCCAGACCCAGGAGCTTCTGAGCCTCATGATAAGTCACTTTCTTGCCCGACGAGATCTCCACGTAAGGCGATCCCCAGGTTTTGCAAGATCTCTTGGCCGGGTACCTTCTTCAGCCTGCAGCTAGGACCCACCAAGGATTCCTATTTCTTCAGACTGTGAGAAGAGGCCAAAACCCCCGGACACGCCCAGGGAACAGAGCCGACTCCCCACACCCAACATCACCCATGGGTTTGGCAGGGGGGATGTTTCCCTCGGCAGCCGCCGCCCACAGCCCAGCAGTGGCACAAAGACGTCCAGGGGAACCCGGCCCAGGCAGGGCGGGGTCCTGACACTGCTCTGGAGGGAAGCAATTCCCGCCTGGGGAAAGGCGAGACGCGAGGGCCCGCGGAAAAGCACCCCGGCCCAGCCCTGGACGCTGCGGCCTCAGCTTCACAGCGGGCTCGCACACTCTGCCCTTGGGTCTCTTCCAAAAGGCGCCAGCCTCGGGTGGCAAGGGAAGCCCCGGGGAGCGCGGAGAGGGTGGGGCAGAACCCTGGAGTTTCCGGGGGAGGGACGGGCCTCTGCCGAGGTCCTGACCGCAGAAAGGGAACAGGCGGAGGAGCCCCGAGGGCGCCCCGGATGGGGCCGCAGGCATCCTGGCGCAAGGCCGTCTGGAGGCCCGGCCCGGCTTTGGGAAGGGCCCGGGCCTCCAGTACTGGGCCTGAAACGGGCCCGCGAGGGCAGCCTCGGGAACTGGCCACGTCAGGGCGGCGCGCCCCAGCCCCAACCCTGTCCCAAGGGTCAGATTTGAGCAGGCGGCCTGGGCGCGGCCGCGCGGTGAGAAGCGAGGGAGGGAGCGGGCGCAGGAAGCCCAGGGAGGGCTGACTCATCCTCCAGCCGCCGCGGTGAGTCACCCGCAGACACTGAGGTCCCACAGAGCGGGCTCTGTCCCTCTGGGGTTCTTCCGGGAGCGCCCCCTCGCGGCCATACCTGGACGCGCAGCCCGGGTCCCCGGGGCAGCTAGCCGAGCCTTATCCCGGTGGCGCGGCCTCTGCAGAACTTCTCCGAGCCCTCTCCACCCTCTGAGTTCTAGCAAGATGTGACCATTAGGGAACTTAAACGAATAATTTATGGGGTTCATTGTATTTTTTCCTGTTTTCTTGTAGATATGAACATTTTTTAAGTGAAAAGTTGGAGATCTCAGTCTCAGTTTGAATGAGAGGATGGATGAGGAACTTTGGGGAGAGGGAAGGAGGAACAAAGATTTCCTTACTAGTGGGTTTCCTCCTCCTTCACTTCCAAGAAGCTATGCCATTAAGTGTGGGCACCCAGCCTGCTCACAGGTTCGGCCCAGGCTCATTTCAAGCCTGACCCCACCCAGGCCCTGGAGTCCCAGCCCTTTCTCCTTCCCGGTGGAGCGTGATCCTGAGACAGCAGAGAATTCACTGGATGAACAGGAGATACAACTAATGATGATAACTGACATTTACCCAGTGTCATGTGCCAGACACTAAGCCTTTTATGCATATTGTTTTTATTTAATGCCCACAACCACCCTGAGGGAGGTACATGCTATTACTGTGTCCATACTCAGGAAATGAAATGGAGACTTCAGTAATGGCATAATGAGCATTTGTACTGCACTTAATTATTTAGGCAACACTTTCATTTAATTCCAGGACTGTTTGGGGAATGGGGGATTATGGTCCTGCTTGACAGATCAGCTACGAGGAAAAGCAAATATTTTCTCAACTTCTCAAAGTCCCTGGTCTCAGATACCTCTTCTTGACTTCTGTCCATCTCTCTCCACTGCCACTCCACGTCTCCCCTCTCTCCAGCAACTAAAGTGACTCACTTTTAACTCACTGAACATCCAGATTCTAGCATCTATGAGTAATTAACTTCTTTCTGATAATTGTTGATCAAGAACAAATCTAAACAGATCTCCCTGCTAAGAAGCTACCATGGAGGCAGAGATTTCTTCTCCATTTTGTTCATTCTGTGTCTCCAGTGCCTAGAAGAGTTAGTCTTGGAGCTCAGGAGATTTGTGCTAGATGAATGAAATCTCTAGCCCAAAGAGGCCAGACAGTTTCTATCAGCCCTCAAAGAGATTGGAAGATGGAAGAAGAAGATTTAGGGGTGGGTTCTGGTCCCAACTGCCCCCCCCCCAACAACAACAACAACAAAAGAAACTTCCTAGGGCAGCTTTAGTTGATAGTCTTCATGCCTCATACTTGTCAGGGTTAGAGAATTCCTCTTCAAATCTAGCCTTCATCTTTCTCTCACATCTCTCACATATCTAGGGGCAGGAAGTGAGGTTAATATCTTCCTGGGTCCCCACAGCTACTTCAGGAAGTTATATTGTACCCACTAATCCCTGCCGTTCCCCTACAAACATTTGAGAATCAGGACATCCAGCTCTGGCACTCTCTTCTCACTCTTTTTTTTTTTTTTTAAAAAACTCTCTATTTATTTTAGTTTTTTTCGGCAGACACAACATCTTTGTTTGTATGTGGTGCTGAGGATCGAACCTGGGCCGCACGCATGCCAGGCGGACGTGCTACCGCTTGAGCCACATCCCCAGCCCCTCTCTTCTCACTCTTGCCCACGTCTTTGGGCCTCTGGTTTCCTGAAGACTCTGCTCCTTCCTATTACTGTTATGGATATTTTGGTACAGGGGATTGAACCCTAGGGGTACTGTTCCACTGAGGTACATCCCCAGTCCTTTCTGTTTATTTGTTTATTTTTAGTTTTGTGACAGGGTCTCTCTAAGTCACTGAGGTTGGCCTCAAACTTGGGATCCTCCTGCCTCAGTCTCCAGAGTCACTGGGATTACAGGCATGCACTACCACACCTGGCTACTCCTCTCATTATTCTAGGCAACTTCAACAGCCATGCGAGAGACCCTTCCATCACCCTGACCCCTGTGTTCCTTGTCCTGTTCTCTAGGATGACCACTTCTTCGGCCTCCCAGGCCTCCCACTGCCAGGACCACACCCTAAATCTTATCATTTTCCTGAAACTGCCTTATCTTCTCCAGCATAGGTGCCATCTTTTCACTCTGTGGCCACATGCTCAGGACAACCTATGAACCAGTGCTTTGGGAACATCCAATTCTGGTAACCAGTCACCTTTCTCTGGCTTCTCTCTTTATCCAGCAGAGTCTATGGATCCTCATTAGAGCCACTTCCCTACAAAAGTCCCCAGTTCCCTTCCCTGCCTCTATCATACACTCCTAACAGAACCTCAGCCCCCAGATGAACACCTCCAGGCTGCACCAATAAAAATAAGCACAGCTGGAAGAAACATAACCAGCCAGATAAAGGCGCTATAATCTGTTTACCACCTGTGAGTCGGATTCCTGTGACTACAACAAAAGACCAAAGATCTTTAACTTATAAAAACAAAATGATGGTTTGGGCTTCATTTTGAAGGTTCTAGTCCACGATGTATTGGCCCTGTTGTTCTGAGCCTCTGGTCAAGCAGCACATTTCGGTAGGGGTATGAGACAGAGTACAACCACTCACCTCATTTTCAGGAAGGAAAAGAAGACTACTCCAGGGTCCCACAATCCCCTTTGGGTGCATGCCCTCAATGACCTAAGGGCCTCCCACAGGCCCTGCCTCTCAAAGGTTTCCACCACCACCATCACTCTGGGGACCAATCCTTACACACAGGCCTTGGGACATTTGACATGCTCCAGTGGGCTCCTAATGGCGTCCAACTATCCTAACGTTTTTTTGGTTTGTTGGTGCCTGGAGAGACACCTAAGATGTTTTCAAGGTACATTCTCTCTCCCACTCCCCTCAGTGGCTACCACATGCATTCTTCTCTATCCAGGAACTGCTCCTGGTCTCCTGCCCCCTCCCAAGTTTTGCCTGATAGGTTTTTATCTCCCTTCACTGGGAATGTAGATCCATCAGACAAGAGCTTTCTCAACTTTCTAGGACCAAATTCACCCGGCTACAGCAAGCCTGCTCCTTTTTTTTAACCAGATGCCACAGGAAGGATCCATCTTTCTGAGGTCAATGGCTCAAGGTGCTCAGAGTATCTTGTCCTCCCATTGTTCCCCAGCTGTCCCCACTCTCCTAACTGTATGTTTATTCTGTTTCCACCAGATCATTCCCTTCAGCATCAGAACAATCTGATACCACATGCATTTTTTTTTCCATGCTGGAGAAGGAACCCAGGCCCTCAAGCATGCTAAACTCATGTTCTACAACTGAGCCACATCTCCAGCCCTTTTAAAATTTTATCTTGAGACAGGCTTTTGCCGAGTTGCCCAGGCTGGCCTTGAACTTGCGATCCTCCTACCTCAGGCTCCCAAGTTGCTGAAATTACAGGTGTGTGCCACCATGATTAGCTCCCACATGCATTATAAAATTTAGCCAAAACAACCACCAAAAGCCCCTGCCCTTCCCCTTATCCACTTGCTCAGACTGCCTATTTCCTACTGTTCATCAGAATCCAACCTCTTTTTAAAATAATAATAATAATGTATATCCTGAAGGTGTACTACACGATGAGATAGGACACATATAAGTACTAAAAATGTTACTATAGTGAAGCAAATTCACACAGCCATCATCTTATATGGTTACCTTTTCCCTCATTTTTGTGGCAAGAGCAGCTAAAATCTACTCACTTTCCGTGAGCCTGTGCACAGCACAGTTTTATTACCTATAGTTGTGACCGTGCACGTGAGATCTCTAGACTTGTTCATCCTATGTGTCTGTCACTTTGTATCCTCTGACTTACATCTCCTAGTTTCCTCCTCCCCACTCCCTGCCCTGCCCCCCTGGTAACCTCTGTTTTTTTCTGTTTATCTGATTTTTTTTGTTTGTAGATTCCACATATAAGTGGGATGATCCAATATTCTTTTTTTTTTTAAGAGAGAGGAGAGAGGGAGAGATGGGGAGAGAGAGAGAGAATTTTTTAATATTTATTTCTTTTAGTTATTGGCGGACACAACATCTTTGTTTGTATGTGGTGCTGAGGATCGAACCCGGGCCGCACGCATGCCAGGCGAGCGCGCTACCGCTTGAGCCACATCCCCAGCCCCCAATATTCTTCTTTATGTGTCCGCTTCATCTCACTTCACAAACTGTCCTCCAGGCTCGTCCGTGTTATGGCAATGACAGATCGCATTCTTTTCTAGGGCTGAATGATATTCCACTGCTTGTATGAACCACAGTTTCTTTATCTATTCGCCTATCAGTGGACACTTTGGTGACTTCCATATCTTGGCTATTGTGATAATGCTGCAATGAACATAGGAGTGCAGGTGTCTTTAGGCGGTGCTGGCTTTATTTCCTTTTAATATAAGGGATTTGGGGTCACATGGCAGTTCTGTTTTTAATTTCTTTATAAAATTCCACAGTTTTTCATAGAGTATATCAATTTTTGTTTCTACCAACAGTGTGTGAGTTCCCTTTTCTCTACACCCTTGTTTTTTTAACCTTTTTCCCCCCAGTGCTGGGAATGGAACCCAGGGCCTTATACATGCTAGGCAAGTGCTCTACCACTGAAATACACCTCAGTGTGTTTTTTTGTAATAGCCATCATAAAGACTATCAGGTGGTATCTTAAAACTTTTTTTTTTTTTAGTACTAGGTTTTGAACCCATGACCTCATGCATGCCAGGCAAGCACTCTTCCACTCAGCTCCCTCCCCAGACCTTTTTGTTTTTTATTTTGAAGTGGAGTCTCACTAGGTGGCCTCAAATTTGCAATCCTCCTACTTCTGCCTCCTGAGTAACTGTGATGATAGGTATGTGCCACTGTCCCTGGTTAATAGTGATTTATTTTTCCCTGATGATCAGTGACGTTGAAAGCCTTTTCAAATGGCTATTTTCATGTCTTTATTGAATAAATGTGTTAAGACACCAGGTTCGAGAGTAGTTGAGATGCCATGGTTCAGGAAGCTGCCAGGAGGATTGTGAGTTCAAAGCCAGCCTCAGCAACTTAGTGAAGCCCTAAGCAACTTAGCAAGATCCTGTCTCTAAATAAAATACAAAAAAGGGCTGAGAATGTGGCTCAGTTGTTAAGTGCCCCTGAGTTCAATCCCAAGTACAAAAAAAAAAAAAAGAATAGTACAAAAAAAAAAAAAAAAAGAATAGTTGAGATGGTAAATTTTGTTGTTTTTATTGTCACGGTTAAAAAAGAAAAATGTAAATATGTTTATTGCATCTTTTTTCCTTGCTTTACATCCACGATGACTTTCCATTTCACTTAGAATAAATCTGAATTCCTTACTAGTTAGAAAGCCCTGTTGACCTTTGCTCCTCTTCTCCACCACATGAGTGGCCTCCCAGATTCACAGGCAGGAAGCTCCTCCTCTCCCAGAAGGCTCCATCTGCAGCTCTTCCATGGCAGACTCCTCATCCTTATTCTGAGTTCACATGTGATTTCCTCAGACAGGCCTCCCCTGGCCAGCCTGTTGGTAGTTTCCCCATTTGTTTATGCTGCTGCCTGTTTATCTCCTCAAAGCTTTTTTCTCAATTTATACTTAGGCACTTACTTGTTTATTGTTCATCTCCCACTAACATGTCCACCATCACCTCCGATGCTAAGCTCATAAGAGCAGGAAGAAAGGCTGTTTTGCTCACCACTCAATCCCTACCACCCAAGACAAGGCTTGGACACACCCTCAGTACCCCACATATCTTTGTTGATGAGCAAATAAGTCTCTCTCCCTTTTTTCTCGGTATAGCAATACCACAGTGCAAGTCAGACATCTCCGGAATGGAATCCTACTTCCAAGCTTGTGGCCCAGAGCTCTTCCTCAGTGAAATGGGATATCTTGCAAGGGAGGGTGAGTATTACATTAAATTACATGTATAAAGTACTTGCCACTTGATAGTGTATTGGTATCTAACATTATTGTATTCTACACTTGCAAAGGACTATCACTGCTTAGGCAATAATTCTTGACACTTGGGAGGAGGAGTGTTACATATCCTTCTGAGAATTTGATTTAAACCTCACTCTGGACCAAAAATAAAATGCACCTAATTAACATATTTTATATATAAATTCCTGATGTTGACTAAACATCAGAAGTTATGGTTACTAGGTTAAGAACCCTGAATATGAAGAGAGAAACACAAGTGATATGGTTAAAAAGCTGAGGGGATGCCAGGCACAGTGGCCCATGCCTGTAATTTTGTTTTCCAGGGAGGCAGAGGTAAGAGGATCACAAGTTTGAGGTCAACCTGGGCAACTGAGTAAGAGCCTATCTCAAAATAAAACATCAAAAGGGTGATAGAATGCTTGCCTAGTACGCATGAGGCCCAGGGTTCAATTCCCAATACAGGGAAAAAAAAAAGTTGTTAAAAGGAAATAGCTGAAAGATGGTTAGCAGTGAAGAATGACTTAGGAGTAAGTCTCTAGATCGACGAGAACCAAGACTGGCATCCCTAGTTCCACAGTGCCCTCTGGTGGTGAGCTGTAGCTACTGCACAGAACTCCTCTGCCAGAGGTGGAAATGTAGACCTCGGAAAATAGCTCTGAGTTCATTCTGAATACTCCTCAATACTTCAGATGGCTTCTTTCCACCCATATTTCCTTCCACCCACCTGCGCAACAGCCCATCTCTTAGGAATTTAATATCCCTTGGAGCATTTAAATGTTTATTTAGTGGGGCCCAAGAATAGTTTAATCAATGGTCCTTAAGTAGACTAGTAGTTTCAGGGGAAACAATGAAAAAATAATTGTTTCCCTACTTTCCACACATTTAAATATGACACTGATTATGGTGACCACTAAAATATTTTTGTTTCCTTAATAATTATTACACTCTTAGTAAATATTGCAACCTTAAAGAGTGCACACGGGTTCCCAGGGCCTTGGCTAATCTTATTTTCACCTTATATGAACGTTATTGATCATGTTTTAAAATGTGTTTTATGCATTCATACTGTTGTGCTATAATTACAAAAGTCATTAATGGCTCAAAAGTGCTTCATTGACTCATAAAGTAGCAGTGACAATAATAATAATATAGGTGTGACAGCTCAGATGCTGTCATCCATTTAAACAGTAAGCAGGTTCTGTGGGAATATTAAATGTTTGCATGTGCTGGGACAAAGGAAAGTGAAAGCATGATATTTTGCACAAGCAGCAAAGAGAGTCTGTAGATAGAAACTACTTCAAAGATTCTGGAAACTGGGTGTTGTTGCTTTTTCACCTCCTATCCCAATACATTGTGTGCTGTGAAATGTCAAATCATGGCTCACATTCACCAAAGTTTTTGTCTTCTCATGCTCAGGAGCCCGATTTTTTTTTTCTAGAATAAGCACAAAATAACATTGTCCCAGAATACAATCTTAATATTGTGGGAAACATAACCATATCAAGAATGTAGCAAATTCCTCAAAGTTGCCCTCAGTCCTACAAGTAAACCACTGGATGACAAAGAAGCTGGACAAACCAGCTGCAATGTAATGACATAAATACTCAGAAACAGTTTCACCAAATGCCACTGTTGGATGCCACATAACAACAGAAAACAATGTGCAACAGCAGTCACCATCAAATGTGTGTGCTGGCTCTCCTAGTGGGTGGCTAAAATTCTGATGTAGTGACTGTGAAATAGGTGTCAAAATAGGAAGAGTAAAAAAAAAAAGAAATAAAGAACTTAAATTATATCTTTAAAAAAAAAGAATGAAATGAGCATATACAAGGATAAAGAACTCAATGAATATGCGTTGTCTTTATCTCTAAAATGCCATATTAGGCCAGGCACAGTGGTGCACAACTGTAATACCAGTGACTACGGAGGCTGAGGCAGGAGGATTGCAAGTTGAAGGCCAGCTTCAGCAACTTAGCAAGACTATCTTAAAACTTAAAAAAAAAAAAAAAAAACTTTTAAAAAGGACTGGAGATGCAGCTCAATGGTGGAGCACCAATGGATTTAATCCCCAGTATCAAATAAATAAATAAATACCATACTATAAGAGAAATATATTTTGTTTCATGAGGTTATTTTGTGAGTGAAAAAAGGCACAGTAGAATTAGAATAGATGATTCACTGACTTTGAGAACAATAAAATAGCTGAAATTGTGATAAAAGAAAAAATTATGCTTCAATTTTTCCCTCTGAAAACTGAGAGTGATTATAATAGTAAAAATAATACCTGTTTCATACAGCTGTGGTAAAGATCAGGGAAGACGTACATGTGAATTGCTTAGGACAATGTGTCATATAAAAGTATTCAATAAAATCTGGCCATTATTATTACCATGATCATTGGAATGCCAGTTTGAATACTATTTAATTCACAGAGAACCACCAACAGTCAACAACATGCCTCCTGAACTCAACTTAGTGTTGAAGGAAATTAAAAAAAAAAATTTTCACCATAATTCAAATTGCAGTCACTAAGGAAACATTCTTTTCAATGTATTCAGGTAGAAACAGGCAGCCAGCAAAAATAACTGCTGCTTCTCTCCTGTGGTGAAATACCCTGACCCTACAGGGCAAAGGTGCTCTGGGGAATGTTGTTGTGTTCTGTTCGGCATTTTTATTGAGGTATAATTCACATAGTATAAAATGCACATTTTAAAGTGCATTGAGTAGCTTTTGGCACAGTTGCTGGGCTGTGCAACCAACAGGACTATCTCCTTCCTGAATGTTTCTATCACCCCAAAAGGAAACCCCATACTTAAAGTGGCAGTCTGTCCTTCTTCCCTCCTTTCCCCCAGCCCCTGGAAACTGCGCATCATTTTCTCTTTCTATGGGTTTGCCTATTTGGGACATTTTATATAAATGGAGTCCTATAATATGTGGCCTTTTGTGTATGGCTTTTGCACTTCTGAATTTTTCAAGGTTCATCCATGATATAAGATGTGCCAGAACTTCATCCCTTTTTATGGATGAACAAACTTCATTGTACAGATATGTCATGTTTGTTTATCTTTTCATCATTTGATGCACATGTGCATCGCTTCCACTTTGGGGTATTATGAATAATGCTGCTATGAACATCCTTAGAATGTTTTTCACGATTCTGAGTTCAAGTGTCATCTGCTTATCCAGAATGTCTGGACAGCCACAAACACTTGATGCCAGTCCCAGTCTTACAATTATGAGTTAAGTTGAACTCTGCCTTTCTCTCCACCTCTAGGATGAGGGGCCTGAGCTATCTGTTGTCAAACTATCTGACATCAAGATGAACATAAATGCTCTAGAGAAGATTACAAATAATATCCTTCTCATTGATTTATGAGAGCCATTGTTACTATTTTCTTAATGTTTTAATACATTATTTTAAAACTTGTGACAATTTTATAAATTAACCAAACTATTGAGAATGTGTGTACTAGACACCCATTCCCCACACGGATACCCACCCCCAGCCCTTTAAAAGAAAAATTTATTTTTTTATTTTTTTTATTTTGAGACAAGTTCTCACTAAGTGGACAAGGCTGGCTTTGAACTTGCAATCCTCCTGCTTCAGCCTCCCAAGTCACTGGAATTATAGGCATGTGCCACCATGCCTGTCCTAGACACTCATTTAAATGATCAAAGACAGGGTTTGGGGTGTAGCTCAGTAGTACCAGGTGCAACCTCTGATATAGCAATAAAAAAACTACTTATACTAAATCACCAAATTGGAAGGGCACTAAAATACATACCTGAAGGTTTTAGGCCTATTTTTGATCTTGGCTAAATAAAGTTAAGCAACTTTTGTAAGTCTGAGTTCACACTTTGTAGAGTGGGATTTGTTGTTGTTGTTTTTTGCAGTACTAGGGATTGAACCCAGGGCCTCGTGCATGTTAGACAAGCACTCTACCACTAAGTTCTTGGTTTGACATTTCTTGCCCTGGCTATCTCACAGGGTTCTGCAAAAAGCAAATGAGAAAATGTCATAGGTTACAGTGCTTTGTAATCTGTAAGATATTGTGCACAAGTATGAGGTACAGCAGTCTTTTAAAAAGCCACCTGCCCCTTTGGCTTCCCTTTCTTTTGGTTTCTTTGTGTCTGCACCAGCTGTCGAACATCCTGGTTCTGCCAGCTTTGCATTTATAAATCTGACCTGTTGTTCCTGCCACAGCCTTGGGGAACAGAACTCTCCTGTGAAGAGTGAAGAAAGTGGCCAGGTTTCCCAAATCTTGCGGTGAGCTTTCTGTTCTGGAAGTTCTCTGTCTCCCTCCCATCTCTGAGGTTCCTTCTCTAATTGGGTAGAGGGAACAGAGCTTCTGTTCAGCTACCTCCAGCACAGTTAGCCCTGGCTGCAGAGATCAGCCCTTTAACCCTGCTCAGCTCCTTGTCTCAGTGTCCCTCTCATTCCATCCCAAGGAAAACTAGGCCTGAGATTCCAGAGATAGACACTCTCCCTTCCCCTCAACACCCTTCAAGAAGCTAGGAGCTTTGCTAGGTTCAGAGCCAGAAAAGGGAGAAGACACCCCCACCCTGCAGACCCAACCCTTTAGGAATGGATTTACGCTTCATTGTTGGTGGGAACCATAGAAACCACAGGTGACTGTGAGTCAGAGGGTAGTAAACAGGATTCTTTACTAACAGAAGTTGCCTGGAGCAACTCTGGGAGGGGAGAGCCCTGGATTTGTTGTTTTGGCCTCTGAGAGACTCCTGGCATCCCAGAGCTCCCAGACTGTAATATCAGCTTATGACAAAAAGCACACATAAATCTTTCTGGACTTCCTTCTTGAGAGTCCCTGGAACTCCTGCATTCCTCCATCCTGAGCTCGCTCATTTCCAGTCCAACTCACCATGCTGTCTTTGGCATATTTTGTCTCTGTCTCTCTCCCTCTCTCTCCCACTCTTTCTCTCTCTCCTCACTTTGGGGTACGAGGTGTCAGATTGGTGGCGGTGTCTTAGGACAAAACAGCCCATGAGCAAACATCAGTCAGATCAATCAGATGCCTATGGAAAAGCCTGTCAATCAGCAGGATCTCCTGACCAATCCTGGAGTTCAGCCAGCTCCCCCGACCAACTCCAGCTGGACAAGGGACTCTAAAAACACCTTTTCCTGTCCCAAGCCCTTCCCTTCCTTCCTTAAGCCCCATAAAATTCCAGTCGGGTGGAGCTCCCATGCTGTTTCTCCTCAGACCCTCCCCTGTCCACCCTGTGGGTCTGATAGAGTTCCCCCTGGGAGTGAGTCTCAAATAAAGCCTCATTTGGCGGTGTTTTTAAATCCGCCCCTTGCCTGATCTCACACTAGGAATCAAACTCAGGGCCTGGTGCATGCTAAGGAAACATTCTACCACCGAGCCCCTATTTTAGTTTTATTTAGAGACAGGACCCCACAAAGATGCCAGGCTGCCCTCCAATTTGCAATTCTCCCTCAGCCTCTTGACTAGCTGGGAGGACAGAAGCATGCCACTGCACCTAGATGTTACTTTGTTCTTGATTTTCCTACTTGAGCCTCCCACTCCCTGAAATTTTCCACCTTCTCTGTAAGAAGATCAGATTTAGTCATCCTCTCAATCTTGGCTTAAATGTTAGGATTTTCCCTGACCCTTGGAAGCAGGAATCTAACTTCTTCCACACAAAGTCTGGAAGTACAGAACATTATAAATAGAGCTCCCAGAGTTCCAGGATCCTTCCCACCCTGCTGTCCTTAGGGTGAGCTCCTCAGCTGCATGGTCTAGGATGGCTGGAGCAGTCTAAGCAGCAGGATGGAGAATGAAAAGTGGAAAGTATGCCAACTAAGGGCTTCAGCTGGCTACCTTATAAACATCTACCAAGGAGTGCTCAGACACAGTGTGAAGGCAATCAATTTTCACCAATTCTAATTCCTGTCACCTCCTTTCTAAAATATTCCTTGCCCGTAGTCCAAGCATCTGACAGTTCTCTCATCTCACCTGCCATTTTCTTCCTCTTGTGGTACTGGGGATTGAACCCAGGGACACTCTACCACTGGGCTATACCACCGGCTCTTTTTATTTTTATTTTGAGACAGGGTCTTGCTAAATTGCCCAGAATGGCCTCAAACTTGGGATCCTCCTGCCTCAGCCTCCCAAGTACTGGGATTACAAGTGTGAGCCACTAAACCAGGCCCACCTGACTTTTGACAGGAGTCATCCCTCTGTCACTTCATAAAAGAAAGATAGAGGGCTGGGTGTGTCACTCAGTGATAGAACACTTGCCTAGAGTGTGTGAGGCCCTGAATTCCATCCTCAGCACCACAAATAAACGAATAAATAAAACTTCTTTACCAAGTGTGTTCAAGAGCCGGATAGTAGGAACTGTGCTCCAACACCACCAAGGACAGGCAATAGAGGGGGCCTTGTCTACAGAAAATTTTAAAATAGTAATCAGTCCAAAAGCCAGCAATTCTAGTCAATTGAGGGTATAATATTCCTCCCTGAAAAAAAAATATCTTTTGGCTTAAGAGAGATTTTTTGTCTATTTTTTGTGGTGCTGGGGATCAAACCCAGGGTCTCGAACATGCTTAGGCAAGAACTTTCCCCCAAGCTACATCCCTAGCCCTGCTCTAAATTCTAAATCAAAACAAGTGAAGTGTGACCATTGAGTTTCAATAATATATGTACTTCAAATTAGCAGTTTTTAATAATTTGGCCTTTAAAAAAAACATAATTGACACAGAATTTAATTCTGCCTACAGATTATTTTGGGGAGTAAGGATTGAAACCAGGGGCCTGTTGCACCGAGTTACATCTCCAGCCCTTTTTATCTTTTTTATTTTGAGATAGGTATTGCTGAATGGCTGAGACTGCGCTCAAAGTTGCAGTCCTCCTGCCTTAGCCTCTCCAGTAGTTGGCATTATAATTATGCACCACTGTGCTTGGCCAGAAAATTTAATTCTTAAGTAATATGTTGGGACCCTGCCACCCTCAGACTCAACTACATGTGCTCTTTTCTGTAGTAAATTTCTACAGTTTCCTTCTTCCTGAATTATTTCAGCTCTCTTCTGCTCAGTCTGTAAATGCAGGCTGTGGAATTGGGTCTCTCTGTATCTCAGTAGTGGACTCAAAGGAAATAATGAGAGTATTGGGGCTGCAGAGCACACACTGTCCATGAATGCTCTGTGCCAGCTGGAGGTTCTGCCAGCAAGAAGGCCATCACCAAGCTTGAAGCACCCACCCAGCCTCACACTTTTGGTACTATGAGCCAAAGTAAACCTCTTTCCTTTATGAAGTTAATCTGCCTCAGGTATTTCATTATAGTAATAAAAAAATTAAAGTGCAGACATAAAAAATGTTTTAAAAAGATAATAAACTCAATAAAATAACTTGAGCTATTTGGCTTCCATCTACTTAAACTTTTTAATTGTGTTTCAAGCTTAAAACAGAGAAAAGGAAAGCAAATTTACAAGCTGCAATATTTTTGTTTGGTAAGAATCAACATAAAATACAATCTGTGTGCATGTATGTGCGTGTGTATGTTTGTGTGTGTGTATGTGGTACCAGGGATTGAACCCAAAGGCACTTAGCCACTGAGCCACATCCCCACCCCTTTTTTTTTTTCCTAATCTAGAAACAGGGTCTTGCTGAGTTGACTGGGGCCTCACTAAGTTGCTGAGGCCAGCTCTGAATTTCTGATCCTCCTACCTGAGTTTAGGATTACAGGCATACACCACCGCGTCCAGCAAAATACAATCATTGTAATTCATCATTATTGCTGCAAGTAATTTTGTTTAATAGAAGAGGGAAAGTTAAAAAATAATCCATACCATGTGAAATGCTTTAGATATACCTGAACCTCTCACCTCTCCTGAATTTTTTTAAAATATTTTTTTAGTTGTAGATGGACACAATATCTTTATTTTATTTATTTAATTATTTATTTATTTATTTTTTAATGTGGTGCTAAGGATCGAACCCAGTGCCTCACACATGCGAGGCAAGCGCTCAACCACTGAACTATAACCCCAGCCCCACCTCTCCTGAATTTTAACATATAATGTTTTCAGTGCCAAAGCTTCATGGGTCCCAAACAAAAACACACTTTCAAAATATGGATTTGGATGCATCTTCTTTATAACCAAATCACCAAAATCCTGTGGTAGGTCTTTGTGTCTTTTCTACCATGTATATATTTTTTGTTAAAGGCAAAACATGGAATTACAAAAAAGACATTTTGGCCCATATTGGAATGTTCTGGATTCAGACAGAGTAGAACAGCAGCAGGGATGATGGTGTTAATTTCTATGCTCCTGAAAATGTCCAAGATTGCTTGAGTCCAGAGGGAGAGTCCTGTGAGTGCAAAGCAATGAAATACTAAGGGTGATGGCCCCTTATCACATGCAGATGCAAGCTCATGGCAGAGCGCCATACGTTTATCTACATCGTAAAAGTATGCATGATTCTTAAAAAGCTGTCTGTGACAACATGCACTCTAAGACCTGGCACCGCAACTTCTCGGTGGTAGAAAACGCTCTGCCAGCACTTTCAGCCTCTGGTGTGGGGCTGATCTCTGCATATTTTGCATGACTTCAAGAAGGAGGAAGTGAAAAGTTTCATATTTACTTTCACCAGATGAATATTACATCTTTAAAAAAAAAGGAACACTTCATTGTTATATTTTGGTAGACATTTATTGAGACTTACAGGAACATCTTCATTAACTTTTGCCCCCAAAGTATTTAGGTAATTAAAAATTAGCTTCTTTTTTTTTTTGTTTGTTTATTTTAGGTGCCTATTTGCAGCCTGCTGTCATGTATCAATCACTTCTCTGCTCATTTATTTATTCCTATCACATGTTATTAGGTCAACTTAAGATTGTAATGTGATTCTATTGTAAACAATGCATTTAACAATAATGTTTTCATGTATCAGTTAAAAATAAACACAGAAATGAATAAAGAGAATAATAATACAACTTTTGTAAGCCTTCAAATTACTAGTGATGTATATTCTCTTTTTATTTATTTGTTTGCTTCTTTATTTATTTATTTTTTGAGATGGAATCTCACTACATTCCCCAAGCTAATCTCAGACTCCTAGGCTCAAACTATCCTCCTGCCTCAATGCCCCAAATAGCTGAGATTTCAGACAGAATCTTCTCTTCTTCTAGGTGGGTGGATAGTGGAGATTAAACCCAGGGACACTTGACCTTTGAGCTACATCCCCCATCCTTTTATTTTATTTTATTTGTTTTGGTTTGGTTTTTTCTTTTTGTTTTAAGACAGGGAGTCACTAAGTTGCTGAGGCTGATCTCAAATTTGTGATCCTCCTTTTCTCAGACTCACAAGTCGCTGAGATTACAGGTCTGCACCACCATGCCAAGCGAAGGGATTTTCTCTATCATTAATTTACTCTAAATAGTTTTAAATAAATAATTATTTACTCACTGGTGTATTCTATTTCTATTACAGACATAAATTGTGCTCATAGTATATTATATAACATCCTAAGCACCTTATGATCTGAATTCCTTTAGTCCTTACTCTAATCATATGAGGTAAATATTATTATTATAAAGATTTTAAGGTACAGACAGGTTAAATAATTTGTCCACAGCCACACAATCAGAGGCAGAACTTTGATCCAAATCAAAGCTGAGTTCACACATACACTAAATAACGGCACATGCTCCCTCTCCAAGAAAAGAAAAAAATGTTAGCAGGTCAGGTCACAGCTCTGTCCATCTCATTGGGAAAGTATAGTCAGCCCTTTGTACCAGCAGTTTCCACATCTGAGAGTTCAACCAACTTCAGAATACATTAAATAATAATAATAATAACCTGCATCTGTATTGAGCATGTACAGGTGTTTTTTGTTTTGTTTTGTTGTTGTTGTTGTTGTTGTTTGTTTATTTGTTTTGTCATTATCCCCTAAACAACATAAGGTAACAACTATTTACAAAGCACTTACATTATGCTAAGTATTATAAGTAATCCAGAGATAATTTTAAATTTACAGAGGGAGACACATAGGTTATATGAAAGTACTATGTCATTCTACATGTGAGACTTGAGCATCCATGGATTTTTGGTATCTGTGAGGGTCCTGGAATCAATCCCCAGAGGATACCTAAGGTACACTGTATAATTCCAATAAGTTTTCTTTTTTAGGGTTTTTTTGTTTGTTTTTGTACTAGAGATTGAACGCAGGAGTACTTAACTATTCAGCCACATCCCAGTCCTTTTGAGACAGGTGCTCGCTAAATTGCTTAGGGCCTCACTAAGTTGCTGAGACTGGCCTCAAACATGTGATCCTCCTGCCTCAGCAGTTTTGGTCCACCATGGGCTTCTACCATGATTTACTACCTCACCACAGGCCCCAAAACACTAGAGTCAGTCAATTATGGACCAAAAATCTACAAAACTGTGAGTCAAAATAAACCTCACATCTTTATAAGTTGACTCTCTCAGATCTTTGTTATAGTGACAGAAAGCTGACAAACACACCTCCTCATGTGTTAGTTCCAGGACATCAAACTCCAAGATGGAAATAGGAATGAGAGGGATATATGTGGAAGTACTACTAAATCCAGTCCTATGATGGAAAATGAAGCAGGACCAGACAAATGGGAAGCAGAGGATGATGTAATCACCACAAAAGCTTTGGCAGTTCACACAGGCGGCTCCAGAGCTAGGATGGCCTGCAGAATTACCTCAAGCCTGAACAAGGGGCCAGACGTTTATACTTCTGCATCATCCAGCTTTTGGATGCAGGCTGCTCCAGGCTGCCTCGGATGAGGCAGCTCTTCAGCTGAAGTAATCACTGGGACAGGGGACACTTGAAACTGTCAACAATATCCACTATGTCTCCATTTTACAGACAAGGAAGCTGAGGTACAAAGCAATTAAATACCCTTCCCAAAGTCACAGAGTTGGTAAATGGTTATATCCACTGTTTGTTGCAACATTAATGCTGCTCAGCAAACACCTGCAAAACCACTAAGGACAGATTATTAGTACAATTTTTAGTATTTGCTTGTGTGTGTTTGTGTGTGTGTGTGTGGTGCTGGGGATTGAACTCAAGGCCTTGCACATGATAAGCAAATGCTTTACCACTGGACTATATCCCCAGCCCTTTGGATTTTCCGTTTTGAGACGGGGTCTCCCTAAGTCCCCAAGGCTGGCCTTGAACTTGTGATCCTCCTACCTCAGACTCTCAAATCACTGGAATTACAGGTGTGCATCATTATATTAGCTAAGCATTTGCTTCTGCACATGAGTCTTTAAAGTGGCTAGGTCATTCTGCTGATTTAGTCCAGGATAGGCTGGTTTCAGCTGGGCTCATATATATATTTGTGACCCTGGATCAGCTTTGCTCTGCCTGGTCTCCAAAAGCCTCCTCTAGGATGACTTGGATCCACAACATGGTTTCTTGCCTTGCTGAAGGCTACCCTGAGTTTCTTCTTTATGATGGTGGGAAGATTATGAGAGAGAAAATGAAAGCACACAAAACATTTTGAGCCTCAGAATTGGAAATGCTGCATTGCTACTTCTACCACATGCATGAGTCTAAGTCAGAGTTGATGGAGAAGGATGCTATCAAATGGCATAGATAGGGTCATGAAAATTTAGGGACAATCTAGTACAGTGATAGAGCCCAAAGTCATGCTCCAGTGACCCCTGCCCTTTTTAAAAAATATTCTTTTAGTTGTAGATGGGCACAATATCTTTATTTTATTTATTTATTTTTATATGGTGCGGAGGCCCAAACCCAGTGCCTCACTGAGTGACAACCCCAGCCCCAAGAGACCCTTGCCCTTTAAACATGGTCCACAGCCATTTCCCTATCAAATATTTTATCAGTATCTATTTCAAATCCCATCTGTTCATAAGCCCAACATCTCGATGGACACTGTGGAAGTAAAAGGTCCTACTTTTTTTTTTTTAAATGGTACTGGAGATTGAATCCAGATTGAATCTGAATTATATCCCCAGCCAGCCCTTTTCCTTTTTTTTTTCTTTTGGTGAAGAGGGACAGGTTCTCACTAAATTGCCCAGGCTGACTTTGAACTTGTGATCCTTCTGCCTCAGCCTCCTCAGTCTGGGATTATAGGCATGCACCAACACACCTGGCAGGACAATCATATTATATGATTTCACTATCCCTCTTTGAGGACAGTAAAACCTCTTGGTTTTATTGAGCAGAAGGGAAGACAAGATTACCAAAGGAGAATGAAAATAGATGGCTGGGATTGGGGGTTTAGCTCAGAAGTAGAAAGCACTTGCCTAGCATGTGCAAGGCCCTGGCAAGAGGCCTGCCTGCCATACCATGGCTGGAGATCCAGAGGGGAGGCTTGCCCCATGCCCAGAGATACACGGTGAGCATCCCCGCGCTGGGGTTCCTTATTCACCAAAGAGTGATTCCACAGCCCAACATCGGGGTTCATATAAGCTCAAGGCGGCCTCCACCATGAAACTAAGATATGGTGGCTTCTATCAAGGGACAACAAATAAGGACCTGGTAAGACATCACCAAGATCCCTGTGGGCCTGGCTGCACCAGAGGTTTCTCTACTAGGGGTGCTAACAGTTATCCTGTTGCTGAGGTAACAGGGAGTTTTGCATGGGGTTGCCCATCTATTGTTTCTCCTACTAACAGCCAACTTCTTATGATTACCCTCTCACTAGTCATATAATCAAATACCTTCATATTCTCACATTCTACCTCATAAACATCTCAGCCAACCCCCCAGCTCCCCCTTCTACCATAAGAAACTGTAAACCATTATGCAAACTTATTGACTTTAAGGTAGAAAATAACTGAACTCATCATTTCTGATTATAGTGACAAAACTGTAAATGTAAACACAGAAGCTGATATATGGTTGTATGTTGGGTACATTGAGTGCTGTAATATTGATCTCTTAAAAGTGAGGTATTGGTAACCAATAAGGACACTGCAAGAGAGGAAGACTCATAGACATCATGAAAAAACAAGGGAAGAAAGTGCCCCAAACAAACAAAGATACTACAACAATAGAATTCCTAGATAGCGCAGGTGAAATGTCAGAGAAGGAGTTCAGAATATACATAACTAAAATGATTTGGGAATTAAAGAATGACCAAAGTGAGCAGATACAGGCAGAAAAAAAAAAAAAAACAATCACTCCAACAAAGAGATGAGAGAACAAATACAGGCAACCATCAATCACACGAATGAGATTACTTCAAGAAAGGGATAGAGATACTGAAAAAAAACCAAACAGAAATCCTTGAAATGAAAGAAACAATAAGCCATTTTAAAACTCAATAGATAGCTTCACCAACAGACTAGATCATTTGGAAGTCAGGACCTCAGACAATGAAGACAAAATATACAATCTTGAAAATAAAGTTGACCTCACAGTGAAAATAGTAAGAAACCATGAACAGACAATCCAAGAATTATGGGATACCATCAAAGACCAAATTTAAGATTTATTGGAATAGAGAAAGGTTCAGAGATTCAAACCAAAGGGATGCACAATCTCTTCAATGAAATGATAGCAGAAAATTTCCCAAGCATGAAGAATGAACTGGAAAATAAAATACAAGAGGCCTATAGGACACCAAATGTACAAAATTACAACAGATCTACATCAAGATAGATTATAATGAAAATGCCTAGCATACAGAATAAGGATATAATTTTAAAGGCTACAAGACAGAAAAATCAGATTATCTATAAGGGACCAATTGGGATCTCAGCAGATTTTTCAACCCAGACTCTCAAAGCCAGGAGATCCTGGAAAAACATATACCAAGCTCTAAAAGATAATGGATGCCAACCAAGAATCTTATGTCCAGCAAAACTAAGCTTCAAATTTGATGATGAAATAAAAACCTTCCATGACAAACAAAAGCTAAAAGAATTTACAGCAAGAAAGCATGCACTACAAAAACATTCTTGGCAAAA